TAAAAGGTTTAACTCACTGATTGATTGGCGCTCAAAACACTTGAGTGGAGGAAGTCGCCATCCCAAAAGTCAAGAGCCCTTCACTTGTAGTAGAACAAGATAGTGAGCAAATTGAAGTCTTTTCAAAATGCACAAAGGACACTTCTGTTGAATGTTTCACCTTTGCATTCTGCACCCACCTCCACCCCTTTATGCCGAAACAAGTCAATGACTGCATTCCTCAAATGACTGCATATCACTCAATGCCTTTCATGTCAGAGTTTTAGACCAAGATCATTTTATTTTGCGAAATGACAAGGTTGTAGCCATTTTTGTTAAATATTGAAGAGAACATTATACACAATCTCATGCAACATTGCAATAACTCGCCTGATTTTGCATGATTCGTTAGTGCTTGGAGTATGTGTTGTGAACAACTGTCAGCTACTACCTTACCATGTTTTTTTTTTTAACAAGGCAAATCCCATTAACATCACAGATCCCTTTTTCAAAAGAGGCCTGGGTCTGAAAGCAGTCTAAACATTTATGTTTTTGTACTGTGGGAAGAAACAACCGGAGTACCCAGAGAAAACCCACACAAACACAGGGAGAACATGCAAACTCCACACACAAAGACTCCAGGCCCAACTCGGGGTTTGAATCCAGGAACTTCTTACTGTGAGGCAAGAGTGCTAACCACTAAATCATTATGCTGCATACATTTTAGTTTATCCATCCATACATCCATTATCTTTACCCGTTTATTCCATTTTGGGTCACGGGGGTCGCTGGTGCCCATGTCCAGCAATCACTGTGCGAGGGGCAGGGTACACCCTGAACGGGTCGCAAGTCCATCACAGGGCCACATAGAGACAAACGAGACAAACAACCATTCACTCTCTCACTCACACCTAGGGACAATTTAGAGTTACCAATCAGCCTAACATGCATGTTTTTGGTCTGTGGGAGGAAACCGGAGTACCCGGAGAAAACCCACGCATGCACAGAGAGAACATGCAAACTCCACCCAGAAAGCCCCTGGACCGGGGTTTGAACCAGGGACCTGTTCGCTGAGAGGCAGCAGCTCTACCAGTTCCGCCACCGTGCTGCCCCCATTTTAGTTTAATATCTGTTAAATTCATACAGGTACAGCCATTTGTGTGAAGGTTGATTAGCTAATTATTTGCTAAAAAAATCATTAAAATCATGTTAGGCTGTCTTCAGACACAGGCCTCCCTTGCAAAAGAGATCTGTAATGTCAATGGGATTTGCCTGGTAACGTGAAGATTAATAATAATAATAATAACAATAATAATAATAATGATAATAATAATAATTACAACAATAACAACAATAATAATAATAATAATAATAATACATTTGTCTAGTAGTTCATAAAATATGTTGCTAATGAAAGAGGCACACACAAACACAAGCAAAAACACTGATACCTTCAACATCAGCAGTAAGTTAAATAATTTCATAATGTGTAGGATCTTATAAGCATAAGAAAAACAAGATTTATTGTAAATAAAAGTTGATTTTCCTGTTTTTATGTTGTTGATGTTTTTTTTTTTATTAACAACAGTGATGGAAAGTAACAGAACGTACCAAATAAAACTTAAAAACCCTGACATTTAGAAATCACTCAAGAGTTCTGAGCCATGTTGTGAGAATAGAAACCACATAAACATGTATAATCAGATTATGGCAGTCTGGATCTAAAATATATGAAAAACAAAAATGGAGGGGAAGAAATTTTTGCAACAAGACAGATAAATAAGCAGATGTTTGTCATAGTGCACTCTTTCTCTAAATATATGTGACTAATTATGCCAGTTTTTAAAAAAAGCCAGAGCTTACAACTGCTGAAACTAAGGATCACAATAATATAAGGAGCAGTTAACCTCCGTGCAATTGATGGATTAAACAGAAGCACAGAGGATTTAGAAGCAGAGCTGAGAGGCTGACCTGAGAACAGCTCAACTGGTAGCTTCAGCAGATGATTGCACCTTCATTTCAGCTCAAGTAAGGAGGGGGTCATTAGACTAATTAGCTTACACTGACTTTATTTAGGGAATGCACACACAAAGAACAAGCGACAACAGGGAACACAAAGAAACTTCAAAAGTACCAGACACTAAATCACTATTTCAACACAAAGCATTCCTATTCCTCCCATTTGGTGGGGTTTCGGAGGATTAGCTAAAGCTGTACATTTTGCAAAGCAGATTTTCCCTTCTGGGCGCTGTAGGTCCTGCTAGAAAACAGCCACACAAATAGCATTTGTGCTGACTGAAGTACAGTGCAGATAGCACACAGTAAAGCGTGCAGGAGTGGGCGGATTGTGGTGTGAGATTCCTTTTATCCAGGTTCAATGGCTCAGAGAAAGGGGTGATTAGTTTGTCCCCGTCTCAAAGTGCTGCCACGTCTTTGGTTACGGAGATAAAAGCCGTGCCTTATACTGAAAAGAGCAGCTATTGTCACGCAAAACAGACAATCTTAAGTACAGGCAGTGGGCAACACTGAGGAATGTCTCTTTATGGCATTTCTTTCTGAGTGTTTTTAAACAAAACAGACACATTTGGGGCACAGATTGTTTTTTGTATAATTTAATATTATTGCATTTTTCTTGGAAACAAAGAGCTCTTTGAGGGGAGTAAAGAGGCAATAATATGATACATGATGATAGAAACATCCAGATTTTTTTTCTTGCTTGCTATCCCCATCTACCTCCCATTAGAGGGCTTTCCCAGAGAATAATTTTCCTGTCCTGGCAGTATGACGGCTGCATATTAAGCATGCAAGCCAGTTACAGATATGGAAGCATAGTACTTTCATGTAAGTCTTAAAGCTACAAGATAAACGGTTTACAGGACAGCTTTACCAAGGGTAGGTCCACAGTATGCAGGCTGTGTGATCTGGATCACTGGTTGTAAAATCCCATCAAAGACACCATGGTCTGAGCAGCGTAAAGTAGAGGCTGTTCATAAAGAGATGAGATGCTGGAAGCTTCAGTGTGACCAACACAACTACTTTCCCTTAAGCCGAGATCAGACTAAAGCCTGGTCGTGGCTCGAGCCAAGTTGTGATGTCAACGTAGAACATAGTAATGTTGTATAGGAATCAGACAGTGCATGGTCAGCCAAAAGTGACACATATCCTCCTCACATCACTGCAAAGGGCATTGACAGTTTATGAGCTTTGTCATTTGTAGGCTCGAGAATGCAGCGTTCCCATCATTTGATATAAACAAAACCTGAGTTTTCCTTGATTTTTCCTTCAGTAATCCTGAAATTCCAGGAGATATTTCAGTCACACAAAATGCCTAGGTACATGTGGCGGGCAAAAGAACTCTCTAAGCTAATGTTTTTAAACTACAGTGTTTTGGTGGCCATGGGATCAGGCTCCAAACAAAAGTCCAACCTGACACTGATGTAAATCAAGGTGAGCATGAAAGTGACCCATTATGACCAGCACTAGAAGAATCCTTCCACCACCATCCATACAGATCAACACCATCACCCAGCAAAGCAGGACATCACAATATTAGATATTAATGGTATACCACGTCATGATGTGCTTCGTATGACCGCTGTGGGGGCAAGAGGCGCATAACTCCCTTTTAAGGTTTTAGTTTTTGGAAATCAGTGGCATTCAGAGATGACAGTAAGTATACTGAATGCTATGGTGCATGTTGGATAAAAAATACTCTCACTTACATTGCTTACTCAAAAAGAATTACACTCGACGGCAAGAGAAGATTTTTAACCGATATTTTACTTGCAAGGTCAGATTTTCAGGACAGGTTACATAAATATACATAAATGTACACACATGAAGACCAGTCACGGGAATCTGCCTCAAGCTATCAGTTTTTCCAAGTCCACAGAGGGCAGGAGATGTCACCCAGCTCTCTCTGCTAACCCAAATATATGGTTCATGGGCAGAGATTAGATTCTCAGCCATAGTAATAAAAACATCCATAACCTTTGACCAAAAATTATCTGACACTACATGCATACAGCAATCATTCGGAATAATTTATTATGTATTGTATTCTAAAAATCCACCACAGACAATCAGTAAGGATACATGTACTACGAAAACTGTAGGAGCAGAACATGTACTGGCATTAATACATGAACAAGTTAAAATCACAGAAAGATCATCTTTTAATCAGCAGATCAGTGTTTATATTGCTTGATTTTTCCCTGTCTGGAAAATATGAAAATCATTTTCCAGGTTTTCTCTGATTTCCAGAGCTGCTGGGAACCCTGGAATGGCAAGCATAATGTTTGCAAGACAATGAGCTGGTGGGGTGACATTTTTTCCCCTTTGCTCGTGTGTAAATCAGCACCAGGCCTTTTCAATGGGAGCTGGCAGTATTTGGTGGCAAAAAAATGATGGGTTGGGGACATTTTTCATGTCAGTTACGAAAGTATCTATTCTGTGTTAGCATTTCACAGCTTTGCAAAAAAAAAAAAAGAAAAAAGAGAGATGAATGTGGGACTACATTTGTTTGGAGCTTGACTGCAAACTACAAGAATTCCGGCCAAGCAGAAACGGATTACCAGACACGCCGTCCATCTTCAACAACTGGAGCTCTGCAGGGTCCAAGCAGTTCAGAGATGTGAAGCATTTTGTTTCTCTTCATTTCCAAGTGCAGAAGTAGACATTATGATCCAAAGTTAATTTCTGAGCTAATGTCACATTTTCAACTCTGTCCTCAATTTATGATTATGTTTCTCAACATGTGAAACTAGTTTGATGGTTGTAACGACAGGTGTATAGTTGACACAACGCTAAACAACATTCTCTCAGGAGTCTGACTGGATAAAAGGACTCTTTTGGACATTTTGGAAGCAATTTAATTAAGAGGTCTTTATTAATGTTATAATTATTTTTGACCCCTATATTCCCATTCAGTACATAGAAGATGCAGGACACAAACAAATTAAAACTATTTAGTCCATTTAAGAGATTTAACAAAAAAAAATCAATAAACTGAAGATACTTACAATGAAGACAACCTGCTTCTCCAGTCAGGTGGGACCATCCTGGGCAACACTTGTACTCAGTCTGATAATCCTGTTTGTACACTTGTCTGTATGCTGTGTAATATGCTGTCCTGTTAACGTGACAAATAAGAAGTTAGAAACGTTTCATCAGAGTGTGACATACAGCATTTACACCACATCACTCAACTCTAACAGACCTCTTTATAGAAAACATTTTGGAGCATGATAAAATAAATTTCCTCAGATAAACAACATTATTAACTAACTTTTTATGTAAATGAATGTTTCTGTTCAGTGCCCTGGGACGACTTTGGTTGTTAATTGATGCTATATAAAGGGAGCAGCCAAAAGAAGAAGAAGAAAAGATGCTTAGCAGTGCACCAAAGATCATTAATCCAGGTATAAATCCAACAATGTTCAGTCAGGTCATCTGACTGAACATTGTTGGATTTATACCTGGATTAATGAGCATGAACTTTGGTGTTTTGAACCACTTTGGCATTGTCTGTCTTACAGGAGTTGACAGGGGAGAGGGTGGGTCCCGAAGGTTATCTTAACACTAGCAAACTGTTTTTTTTCTTTTTTCCCACTCTGTGTGAGCTGTTTGTGGGATTCATTTTGGTTTGGTGGGCTTCTCAGACTGAAAAAGTCCTTCGGATGAAGGACGAATCGTCTCAGCAACAAAAGAAACCATCCAAAAGACCTGACTGAACATTGATGGATGCTTAACAGTGATAAACATGGCCTTTAATTTTTTATTTTTTTTGATGTGTTGCTGCTATCCCATTAAAAATTATTTCTTTTTTTTTTTTCCTATAAATGGTACAATTTTCTACAACATTTAAAATGTTTACTAGGGATGCACAATGGTAACAGGCCAAACTAACAAAGACCATGCAGAATAATGTATTTTCATTCCACAGCAGAGAAAGCTATGTAGTCTCAGTAAGTAGGTCTAGGAAAAAAATATCAGTATTGATATCGGTTATCAGCTAAATAAGTTTTAACATATCGACATATCGGATATCAGCCAAAAATCCAATAATGTAAATCACTCATTTTTGCTATGTTTCTTTTGTGAATAATGTATGTCTTCATTAGCAAATTATTGCATTCTGTTTAAATTTACATTTTCCATAATATCCCATAATATGTTTTTTTAGAATTAGGTTTGTGTTTTATTTTGTGAAGCACTTGATGTAACAACACCCAGTAAGTGTCATTTGATGTAAAGCTAAAATTCCCAGGCTTTGAAGGCACCGTGTCACAGAGTGACACTGTCAGTGTCTACTTCTGAGAACGGAGGCTCTCCCTGTAGTTTGGGGACCCTCTCATTGCTTCACGGTCATTAAGCTCTGTAGAAAAACAGTGTACGACAAGTAATTGTTGCTTTGGCTGCCATCAAAGCAGCCTCTGACTTTGTGACTTGGTAAATAATGCAGAGAAAAAGAGCAAGAGCTGCAGTGAAGAGCTCCTGTAATATTCTTTGAGACAAAAGAAAATGCTTGCATTAGGACGTTTCTTCAAAGGAATGTTGGCAGCAGAGACACACGTGTTAAATAGTAGGTAAACCCACAGACACGAGGGCGGGAGCGTCACACCTAACTGCAGCAGAGCTGTGGTTACAAACAGCTACATCTCATCCTGTTTGGAGATGGTGTTCAATGAGAAAATCAAGGCCTCGTTGTTGAGAAATGATTCTGACTATGAGTCACTGAGACTCAAGAAAACCATCAATTAATGCTGGGCACTTGCTGGAGTTGAATCAGCAGAGCGCCACATCCCCTGCAGGTGATGCTGGGAGTGTTTTTTAGGAGCAGACGCTGAGGATTTGAGTGTGCAGACAAACTGCAAATGAGCTGTGTTACTCGCCTCCTCTCGTGTCCCGTGCACCACGACTGGCCCCCACAGCCTTGTTTCCACACTTTAACCATGCGTGTGAAGGCCTGCACACATGGCTGCCTCTGGGCAACCAGCGTCACCTTCCTCTCTGAGCACACGTTGGGCCTGGAACCAAGAAGAAGAAAAAAGAAAACATGGAAAATACTTAACATGTCAAAAAATGTTCAGCTGTGTTTCTGCAGATGTACACATGACAGCCCCAGAGATTGATGGACAGAACTTATGGTAAGAAAGTTTCCTGTTCTGGTAACTGTTGGGAAGTCATTACTTGGGCTACATCTGATTTTTGGTCTTTTTTAAAGACTTAAAAAATCAGACCAGAGCTTCAAAGCTTAAACCTTGTGCCTTAATTGAAATTAATTTATAAGTATTACCTTCCCCTGAAAGGCCAGTGATAATGTAATTGCCTATTTGTCTGTTGGTTAGTATCCATCCATCCATCTATTATCTTTAACTGCATTCTCTTTTCAGGTCACGGGGGGTCACTGGTGCCCATATCTAGCAGTCACTGTGCGAGAGGCGGGGGAAACCCTGGACAGGTCTCCAGTCCATCACAAGGCTGTTAGCAAAATATCTCATGAGCTAGCAGATGCATTTGTATAAAACTCTCAGAAATTAATCACTGGATATATATATATATATATATATATATATATATATATATATATATATAGTGTTTGTACACGTCGCACTGCCACATAAGTCGCATCAGTCCAAATATGTTTAATAAAGTGGGAAAAAACACATAAATAAGTCACATCTTTTATGCGTCACCACTGACGTGTCATGTTTGTTACGCGTCACCGCTGACAACCTGGAAATGTGGGCCGATGTGCCAAAAATCAATTGGCTGCCAAATGGCGGCTGTGGGAGAGTACACAAAAGGACTTTAACAAGAATTTAACAAGATTAACACTTAAAAACAATTGATTGCTCGACATTATAGTAAAGTTGTGTCTCAGTCAAACGTTTCCTTAATAAATGCACTTTAATGGTAAAATCAGCTGCATTTCAAAAGTATTCCCTGCCTCGGTGTTCCGGGAGCGTGCAGAGGGAGGAAATCAAGAAGGAGGAACGTTGCGATTTTCTTTGAAATTTAACAAGATAAACACCTAAAACAATTATTTGTTTGCTCGACATAATAGCAAAAGTGTGTCTGAGTTGAACTTTTACTTAATAAATGCACTTTAATGGTCAAATTAGCTGCATTTCGCCAGGGCGGCACAGCGAAATGAAGTTGATGTGACGGTTGCTCAAGGCATGATCCTGGAGCTGGACGAAGGCGGCTGCTATGGCAAGCCGATTGTGTTATTAATAGCCACTTGCTATGCTATCTTGTTAAGCTGTTGGGAGAAGAATCAGTTTTGTTTTGTGTGTTTCCTAGACTGATGAAGCCTTCTGGATGGAAGGTGAAATGTTTTTTGCTAGCACAAAAAAAGAAACTGTCCAGATGACTTGACTGAAAATTGTTGGATTGTATACCTGGATTATTGAGCATGGACTTTGTTGGTAGTATTCAATATTTTCCATGTCAGAATGTATGAAAACGGTAATATCTCTAATTGGATTACAAATATGGAGAAAAAAAAAACATAAATAAGTCACTTTTAAGTCGCACGGCATGTAAATTAGGCAAAAAGGTGTGACTTGTGGGCCAGAAAATATAATACATATATATATATATATATATATATATATATATATATATATATGTATATATATATATCTTACACTGGATATACACTGAGGAACAGCTTCTAGCCAGAAGCTGTTAGACTCATAAATCCCTAACCAGGATAATCACTGTAAGAAAAAAAACAAATCACTGTAATGCCACTTTAACTGGTCATATGTGACTTGTCTGTGTTGCTTATTTGGAGATTCTTGTGTTCAGCTTGTTTTCTGTTAGTCAGCGTCTCTCTGTGTCATTAGCCAGTTTTCCTGAAGCTGTCCTAACCTTCAGTTTACCATTCACACCTGGCCTGTGTTATCTCATTCTCCTCACCTGTTACCACTCAGCAATCACTCCTCTTAGTATTTTTACTTCTGGTTGGTTTCACCGCACTGTTGGATCCAGCTGTTACTGCTTCATGAGGTTTCTGGTTATCGCTTAGCTCATGTGCTCAGCTCTTCGTGTCTTTTGCTGGGTTCTTAATTTGTGTTTTGTTTGCAGCCTCGTCAGCTTGTTAAATTCAATATAAAAATTCTGGATCATTCTTATTCTGCTCTTCTACACACATTAAACATACAACTACAACTGATTCACCTTTTTCAATATGGACACATCTAATCCACCACAGCAAACACAGAACTGACTTTAACTCAGCCGGTTTTACAGACATTCAGCTGAAAGTTGGTGCAGCAGTAAATTAAAAGCAATTTAATTAAAGCAAAAAGAAACAAATGTCTACAACAGTTTTTCTGGTACTGAGATCAAATGCAATGCAGTAGTAGCTGAGAGTCATTCCCAACACAAACTATATCACGAGTTATTGTAATGTTGAATTATATTGTTTTATTATGCACAAGATTTGATGACAAAGATTAAAACTTTGTCATTTCTCAACGTAAGACAATCTTAGACTCTCTGGTAGGTGGTGGGTGATATTCCTTCAAGGAATTTAAAACCTTTAATTTTCATTAAACCGTGTTACCTGGACGAATGTTGAATAAAAATGGATATAGGTAACAAATCCTAACGCCAAGGAAAACCATCACAATAATACAATTTTCATAATTTGCATGTTTTTACTTGTAGGTCTGAGGCCAAGGTCCAGCAGAAAAAGAAGTTGTGTAACATTCCTCTCTGCAGGTAAAATATGATGAGCCCTCTAATCTGCTGTGCACAAAGCTCGTCTGGGTCAGAGCCATCTTCATATCATTCTCTGCGCGCTGCACCACTTCAGGAGAAATGTAATTTGTAAAACAAACGTGTAATTGCAGGATGAAATACCTTATTGTTATTGTTGTCTGAAAATGATTCAATCTCTTTGTTATTTTTTATGAGGTTTAAAATATTTGCTGCAAATGGCCGGCTCTTTATTTGAGGGGATAGAAAACACAAAGCTTCTTGGGAGATCTTTATCCATACTGTGTGAATTAATGAGATGCTGCATGCAAACATGCAGACGATGACAGCCCCACTGATACACTTCCTGTCTCTGTTCTCTGCTGACCTTGGACACAAAGTTATCACATGAACAGGTGAATCTTAGAAGATGTGAGGGCTTTAAGGTGCTCGTTGCAGAGTCATGGAGATGGGACCAAAAAATAAATAAATCATAAAGTAATCAAATTATGCTATTTTCTTATACTGATTGTTAATATGTCCTTAAATAAAATGCGTAGGCATAATTTGTGATCAGATGCCAACTACTTTGTGTGTTTACTACGTAAACAGCTGAAATGCCCTAAATTAGAGCAAATATTAAATGTACTGGTCTAATTTAGAAATGTATCAAAACCCATGTTTATTTGGAGATCTGTCTTTAAGGTGCTCCACTGCCCTTCTTCAACCCACATATTTATCTTCCATTGTCAATAGTTCTCTTTACTTTCTTCATTTAGCAGCAGATTTGCTCTCATATTTCCACCTTAACTTCTCCTCTGAGATAATTGTCCAATTCCGCCATGTTTGTTTACCTCCACAGACTTGGGTCAGCCCAGCGTAGGTCTATCACTTTGTGTACATTGAGTGCGTACCTGCAGAATTGCACATCTGGAGTAAACTCTTTCAAATTGCACCATACAGCAGTTCAAAAAAAAAAAAAAAAAACCTTGTTGACTGGTTTCATACTTTGCAGCGGGTAACTTTAAAATAAAAAAGTTTAAACAAACAGGTGGACGTTTACTTACATGTGTGGTTGGAGACTGGTGGAAGTGCTGTGCGTCAACGCATGAGCTTCTTTAATAAATATTAGCAAGATTGGAAAGAGAAGGCTGTCCATGTTCCTCTTCAGCTTCCAAACTGGCTCAGTCACAAACTCATCGCCGCCTGAGAACTTTAAACTTTCCCCTTTAAAATCCCCTGTTACGCGCCTTCACAGGAGCACCAGCCTTCAGACACGTGCGCGCCTCCGTCTCTCAGCTTGTGGGTGACACTGACTGAAAGCCGCAGCTCATCACAGAAGATGTTGGATTCATGGGCAGGAAGTGGCCGCGCGCTTTGCATCCACGCGCTCGGGGGTGGAGATGGAGACGTCAGGACGGCAAGTGCGCACGAGAACACAGACGTTTTCCTTTCCTTCTAATCGGAAGCAAACCTAAAATTAACTTGCGACTTTTACGCGTGCGTAATACAGATCGTGCGCTCAAAGCAGCACACAGCGCGCGCAGAGAATTGGGGAGTATGTCGGAAGCAGCCAATGGTCACTCTGGAGACCAAAGCAGCTGATGGGGCGGTCAAAGGGTCAGGAGCCAGAAGTGACCACTGCTGGGCTCCAAACAAAGCTTTCATTACCCTCATGTGTGCTCACGACCCGGAAGAGTCCCGGGTCAGCGCGGTCCGTGCAGGACCCACACCCAGACTCCTTCAGCTAACCTGGATTAGTTTCATTACGGGTTGTTGAAGCTTATTTTAGTGTCATAACCACATATATAACCCAAATAAGCGAATTCACTTGGAAAAGTAACCTACAACAAATAAATATCACCTTAAAACAAGTTTAGAAGCTAAACCAGCATAAATTACACATCCATCCATCCACCCATTATCTTTACCTGCTTCTTCCTTTTCTGGTCGTGGGGATCACTGGTGCTGCATGTCCAGCCATCACTGACTCAGAGGCAGGGGACACCCTGGACAGGTCTCCAGTCCATCACAGGGATGCAACAACCATTCTCACTCACATGTAGGGACAATTTTAATTTGTGAATCAAATGCAAACCAATACATTGTTATTTTAGAGTTTTGTTTTGTACTTACAATGAAACCATTTTGAAGCTCAACACAAAATCACTTGTCAGTGAATATCTAAAATCATGAAAAATTTATGTTATTTTAATTTTATCATGAATAATAGTGCTGTTAAGCATAATAAAAC